TTAACATGAAGATGTTGAAAACTTCACTATATATAAATCACTGGCATCAAGAATAAGAGATTGCATGGCATAGTCTATTAAAATCTCCCAAGGAATCCCCAATAATGATAAAATTTTGATGACGATTTTATCAAGCTCAACACTTAAAGGCAAGAACTTCTAAGATCTCGATGGCCAACAAATCCACTGCAAAGCATAGTACAACTATTGAGAAAAGAACCTATGCAGATAAATAATTATAGACTTCATGCAATAGTCTTAAAAACCCACAAGGGAACCATCTTCTTCATCCACCAAGGAAACAAAAAAAAAAAACTCTTTTTTCAATCATGAGAATTAACATAAAACTCAAATACTTATTATCCAACCAATTAACATAATCAGCAATTATACATGCCATTATGAAACAAAATATTAGAACTTTAGAAAGATTTACTTATTGAACATTCAATTCCTAAATATTTACATTTTTAACACTGAAAATGTAATTTTAACGTATATATCATCAGACCTATACATTCTACCTCATGCATCAAAAAAATATCCCGCCGGCATATATTTATGTATGCTAAGAATCAAGGAAACAGTGCCAATAGATAAGCTATTTAAATAATCATTAGAAGGGGTTCTGATAAGGGTATAGCCTGAATTAGACAGTGGCGCCTAGCTGATTGATTTGAAGGAATAACAGCACATCTACTTCAGCTACCCATCCTACACTATATTGCTTATTCAATTAATTATTTGTTCATCATTTCAAATATTGCTTAAAACATTGCTTAGGATGTTGGGGACAGTTAACAGCTATTTAAGGAAGTAATTATGTGTAATTATAAATCCAGAAATTATTTAAAAAACTTTACATTTCTGTAGGATTTATGGTTGTATCAGTAGATTAGATTTTTATGTTTTTATATATCTATTATTCTGAATTTTTATATTTTCTTATATTATATCATACTGTAAAAATAGGAGTAAGATAATTTTTTTTTTTAAATAGCATAAAGATAGATATATGAGAAGATGACTGTAATTTTAGATGAGTTAACCTAAATATATGTGACTCCTACCTCAGCCCGTTGTATATATATATATATGTGACACGTACCTCGGCCTATTAGTTGAAGTCCTCGGTGTAAGACACCTCCGGTCGGCGGATCGAATCCCCTCTGGCACAGTTTGTCTTAAGGTACTATAATTGTTAAGCATATTAGGAGTGGTTATGGCTCTTATAATAGCCTCTGGTCATTCATTTATATATATATACAGGCGCTTTGAGGATCACAATTGATTTTAATTTTTTATTCATTTTTATTAACTCACATTTCTTATGTATTTAGTAGTCTCACATTTGAACTTTTACATTTGCATACATATTATTTGGAGCATTAAACTTATGCATGAAAATATGTAATTTAAATCTAAAAAAATTAAAGTAGTGATATTTTTAGATGTGATATTAAAAATTTGAGGGTTGTGTGTGTAAATATGAAAGTTTAGATGTGAGATATGAAAATACATAGGATTAGTCTTCTATATATGTAGATGCCCTTATTTTTTTTTTTTATATTTACACTTAAAATGAAATATAATTGATAGGTTATAATATGATTAGGTCTTTTTAAAAATAATTACAATAATTTTAGACATTTTAAATGTTTTTTTATTTAAATATAAAGAATGATAATTTTGTGTTAAAAAAATATATTTTTAAAATAAACTAAAAGAGCAAAAAAAAAAACAAAAAAAAATGCAAAAGTGATACCAAATAATAAAAATATATATACCTATATTTTGGTTATCAAATATGATAGGGTTTTAAGAGAAAGGTAAAGCTTACACTCATCTATAGTTCTCTAGGGCAGTAGATATAAGGCAGTAGAGAACCAGACGAGCAAAATTTGGTAGGGATTGACTAATTTATGATGATGCTCTCTTTTGTCCACCAAAAGCTAAGCAAGCAAAACACCCTACAAGACCTACACCCTCTATAAATTTATATATAGTTGTTGCATTATTTGAAATCAAATAAACATTTTCTTAAATTAAATTATAATATAAATCAATTCTCATAAATTTATTAGAAAAAACTAGAAATGCAAAAAATAAATTTTAAAATCTTTTTATATAAATAAATTAATTAACTGCCATTAAAATTTATATTGAGGAATTGTCATGAATCTAATATCAACCATGCTTCTTGCAATGAACAAAACTAAGATACTTAGCTTGAGATTTATTTTTCTTCAAAAGACTTATAGAGTGTCGAAACATATGCATTCGCTGATAAAAAGTTGTCATCAATAAGAGAAAAATATTATGTCGGTCGTCCGAACGACGGCATGGATCACATCATGACATTGTGCACAGAGCGTGTTGTGATCCAAACCTTCGTCCACACTCAAACAACAAACTCAAGAATTGTGCCCTTAGGAAGATCATTTAGTGCAAAATTCAACAATTTAACTAATAATTCAAATCATATCAGCATGGCTACCTTTACAAGATAAATGATGAAGGCATAAGAGAGAGTCAATTTTGAATATTATAGTTGTTCTATCAAAACTTAACTCTTAAAACTGTGGTCAACGTTAATAACTCATGTCAAACATTGGATTTGTTTGGGAAGAGTTAAAACCATTGCTTTAAAATCATTTGAAATTAATTCACAGCACAGCTTGAAAGGCACGTTTACCTAACTTCAAACTTTAATGGTACATAATACCTAATCCAAAGCATGACGAAGACTTCTTTCTTGGTGGAGGTTACTTAAGTTTTCAACGATCCAATTATGCAGTGTTGGTTAGCTAAGAAAGTATTTTTGGGTTCCTTAATTATAATTCAATATAGATTAATATCATGTTAGAATCTTAAAGGAAATTAATGTAATAGTATGTGCTAAATATGCCACCTGTGAGTTTCGCTCTTCTCATAAGAAAATTATGGGCACACAAACTAATTAAAGACTTGTAATTTTTTATTAATTTTGATTAATCTTATAATAACCTTTCTATTACAATTCATGCCCCCACCTAAATATTTTTCTTAAAAATGTGCTTCTAAACTTCTATAAATACATGCTATTTTGGTACAAATAATTCACTCACTTTTTTTTTTTTAGTTTAATTTATATTAGTTCTTATATTCTCTCTTATTTCATGTAGTTTTTCTGATCTTGAATTTTTCATGTGAATTTTAAGTGTTTATTTTTTTTATTTATTTTGTTATTCATTCAAAATAAATCAAATTATTGTCTGATGTTTTAAGAAGATGTACCATTTCTTACCTCTGTCATGCTTTAAAATAAGATAATCATTCATAAATTAACTATTTTATTCAATATTACTATTAAATCTAAATTTATCCGTGAATCAGACCCATAAAATAGAGCTTAAGGAGGGGAACGAAGTTAGAGAGAGAGAGAGAGAAATAAGGGGAAAAAATCTACAATTTATATAACCTTGATTAACAATTTATATATGAAGTAAAATAATTGCTTAGGGCATTCACTTGTTTCGCATATAGGGTTTGGTTAGTTTCAACCTGCATATTACCAAACAATTACTGACAAAGTGGAAAGAAAAGAAAAAACAAATAAAACAATGTTGATTCAGAACGTTAAGATTAAGGGCCCATTTGGGGCGACTTATTTGTGCAGGCAGCGTTTTGAAAACGCCGCCTAAATGTTTGTTTCACGTGTTTGTCCCACAACTGAATATATGCCGTTTTGGTTTAACGAATAAACGCGGCAGCGGGATCGACCCCACGGCCCATGTTCGCTCGCAGCTTAACAATGTTTAAAAATGCAATAAAAAAATAATTAATTATGAAAAAACAGAACGTTCAAAATCTGAAAGAGTAAGAATCACTTTTCTTTTAGTGAAAGTTGGTTGAATTTGTGTTGTCGTCGGCCAAATTGATTGCCCGTTCATAGAAAGCATACCATAAAACATGATTTTTTTTATCATTCTATCACTCATTTCTGAGAATAAAAACATTATATTTGCTAAGTTCTAATTTTATGGTTTTTTTTCCAAATATGTTTCCTAACATCGATCAATCAAACGAGCCCCAATAGACTCCAGATTCCCAAAAATTGTTTCCCTTCCTTACAATAAAAAGATTGGGGCTTTTACATACATAGCATACAAAACTTTCATATCTACCTGTCTCACACTTCAACTTTCATAATTATCAAAACATCATATAAAAAGTAGCACTCATTATCACTTTTTAATAGTCAAATCCATATTTTCATCCGCAAGTAAAGTGCTATGTTTGTAAAAATGAAAATTTAGGTGTGAGATAGGTAAATCCATAAGAATCGAGCGCTATGCATGTAATTTTTCCTAAAAAATTACAACCTCTATTTTTCAAAATTTTCTACAAAATCTTCACTTAAAAGTTTTTCATCATGTTCAAGGGCGGAACTAGCTGCTTTTTTTTGTGGGGGCACAAACTGCTCCCAAGTCCCAATGTGGGAGGGGCTAGGGCAATCAAGCGCAAAATAAAATTTCAAAAGGGGTAAAACTGATATTTCAAACGAATCTAAAAAAAAAAACAAATTACCCTCCCATACATGACCTATAAAGGTTTAAACAAACCTAAAAACTGAATTAAAATCAAATGTGGGAGGGGCTAGGGCAATGAAAGCGCAAAATAAAATTTCAAAAGGGGTAAAATTGATATTTCAGACAAAACAAAAATACAAATTACCCTCCCATACATGACCTATAAAGGTTTAAACAAACCTAAAAACTGGATTAAAATCAAATGTGGGAGGGGCTAGGGCAATGAAAGCGCAAAATAAAATTTCAAAAGGGGTAAAATTGATATTTCAGACAAAACAAAAATACAAATTACCCTCCCATACATGACCTATAAAGGTTTAAACAAACCTAAAAACTGGATTAAAATCATGAAGGTTGGTGCAAGTTTCCTGCTCTGATAAAAATAGAGTTATTCCCTGATCCACACCCAATTTAAACTAGTAGATGAAAACATAAACATAAATTTGAAGGCCTGCCAACAAGAATGGTAATCACTGATATTGAATTTACTAACTACTGTCAACCTGTACGTTCTTGTTCCAAAACTATTATGAAACTCTTACATACACACAATCATGGCATGAACATGTAAATTAAAATGCAAATAAATTTCCCAACACAAACCAAGCTCGTGCATATTTTACAAAGAGGGGAGAAGATTTACCCTGCCCATATTCTGTCCAATCGATCAACACTTTTACTAGTATTCTCAATCTGTTCGCTATTTCTTCTGGTTCTTTCAAGGCAATCTACGCTCCTCCTGGACTTCTCCATGTGATCAAACGAGAACTTGAACTTTTCGTGTTTTTCCTTACTGCTAGACTTGTTATCACCGCTTCTAAATTTGTCCCAGCGGTCAGTGCTCTTCCTTGATGCTTCGAAACAGTCCGTGCTGTTCCTCGCAGGCTCAAACTGGTCAGTGCTTCTTCTAAAGGCGTGTTTTTTAATAGATGATTTCTCTACAGTTGATATAAATTTTTTTAGATGTTTGATGTAATCAGGGAAGAGCTCCAAGTCACAGTGTTTTCCTCCTTTAAGCCATAATGGATCATACTTCTCCTTGCACAGCTCCCACAGCTGTTTGCCGTGAGAACAATCGACAACATCATCCGCTGTTCCCTAAATGGATCAAGAAAACAACATTAGATTGATGGGTAAGGAAACAAACATATGCATGTAATTATGATGAAAATAAGCTTATAATCATTGATAAGTTTCACATAAATTTGTATTTAGATAAAAATCATCATTAAAACATAGTCATGTTGAGCATATAAATATATAGGAACCAAGGTGAACTTTAGGAGCTAAAACATTCCGAAAACCCAAAGAAAAAAAACCATGCCTTTATAAACCGGGCCGATCCAGCTCTACTCCTTAACAAATTTCATGATTCTTATACTCAAATTGGGACTTAGGCAGGCGAGAGGGAGTGAGAAGAGTCATGTGTGAGGTAGCGAGGAAGAGAGAGAGAAGGACAAGGCTCAATTGAGTAGTGATGCAAGTCTGCAAGTGCAAGCATGGTCAAAGAGATGCGTGTACATGAGCAGTCGAGAAGGTAACACCAAGCATGGACATTGATGAGAAGTTCGATTCTTATTTCTATGATATGGAACCAAGAGTATGTAATGGCTCAATAGCTATCTTGGGAAGAAGAGGAAGACAGTAGGATTTCCCATGGATTTTTATCTTCATTCATGAAAAAGAATAAAGCCCTAGCATAGCTTACTCTCCTTGCTAATAACCGAGTTTAGTTTCTCAAATTATTGTTAAGGTTGTATTAAACTATGTTGTTCAAATATTAACCCTCAATGCTTATCAACATTTATCTGGTATTGTTATAGGATTAAAATAAGAAGATTAGGTCATTAAATCCTATTTTGCTCTATCTTATATCATACATATTTTTTATAATTGTTATGATTTAATATCATAGTGTTATTGTAATGCATGCTTTCCATCATATTGGTAAATATTATTATTAAGTTGGTTCTCCAAATTATAACATAGAAAGTGTCGAGGGATACTCCAGCAAACTTTATATATAGCAAAAGATATGCATATAAACCTTGAAAGCTATTAAGCCATGATGAAAAATAATTTATCTATAAAGCATTAAAAAATTCATGACCTTTTAAAATTGATAACGAAACATAAATTAAAGCTAATAGTGGAATAATTAATTACGATTAATTACAAGAACGTAATTAATTCATTGGAATGTATGATTATTTAAATATTTTGATGCATGGTATATTGAATGTATGATTAATTTAGAATTTTTTGAATCTAGTGTCTGTGGAATACCATGTGCTGGAGGAAAAAAGACCAGCACCATGATCGATATGTTGGATTGCTTGTGGCATGTTTGGTAAGTGACTCTTTACTTGATAAAAGATGAACATATCATTCCTCATTATAGGCATATTCTTTACCACAAGATATAGATTTAAACAAATGCTAATTTGTTGTAGAATACACGTATTTATTTCTAAAATTTCCTCATTTTAGTGTGTAATATATATATATATATATATAACATAAAAACAATATGCATGCAAGTGAATATTTTACATTTAAAATGATAGTTAGCTTTAGCATGCTATGAGTTGCACAAAATCCTAAAAAACTATACCTATGTTATTCTAATTGCTGAAAATTATTTATTGCTTATATAAATTATGAGTTATGTTGATCTGTAATTATTTGATCACGTTAAAATCTTTATTAAAAACTTTAACTATAATTAAAAATTTGTAAAAAATATAATTTTGTGTGTAATATATATTACTAGTTAAAACCTTCTGAACATTGGTTGGCCGGATTGACAAATCCTCAAAAAGAAAGACTTTTTTTGAGAAATCATTAAATTTCACAGCAATTGGTGATTATTATTCCTTGTTTTAGTATGTCATAATAAGCCGACTAATATATATATAACATAAAAACAATATGCATGCAAGCGAATATTTTTACATTTTAATGCAATGATCATCAGTTTACAACTCTACTGCATAATAAGCATAATTAAATGGTTAAATACATCCCTAAAAAAAAATAATGCTAAAAATCTTCACTAGTTAAATACATCCCTAAAAAAAAATAATGCTAAAAATTTTAAAATAAACATACTATTTACAACTATTATGAGTTAATATCCTACTGTTATTTATGCCTCTTTAATATGTTTGGTAAGTCCTCTAAGAAACATAAGTGCGATATGCACGTAAGTGAATGCTTTAACAATTGAATGCAAAGAGCATTGATTTGCAAATAACTTTTTTATAAACTCTACAACAATATTAAACATAATTAAATGATTATGTCTATCTTATATCATACATATTATTTATAATTGTTATGATTTAATATCATAGTGTTATTTATACCTCTTTAATTGAGCATATTTCTATTATGTACTTTATTTTTCATACTATAATCAGTAGGATTTTACATACTAGGTCTATTACTGAAAAACTCATCTACTCCATGATTTTTAGGTTATTAGTTGTGCATTATGTAGATCGGGGTTTCCTAGACCAATGCTTCAGGTATCCTTTAAAAGTGTGATTAAGGTTAGCTCAGTTAGTAAAATGCATAAGCAATTTATTATTTGGATGAATTACTGCATTAGCTAAGTTTTAGTCACTTCGATGATTAGCAGGCATTATTGGATGGAGAGGTTCTGATGATTCTGTAGGTGAAAAAAATATTATTGAAATTATATTTAAACAATTTAATAATATTTCTAAATTATCAGCTCATAATCTCTAATTGGATTTTTTGAGATTTTTTTCCAGGCCAGATGGGTGGGTATGACAAACGTCAATTTCAATGTCTGGATATCTCTATAAAGATGATAAGTACAAAAAATTGCACAAGAGATCTGCATTGTACATGTTGATAAAGAATTTAATACAAAATAAAATTTATTGCACTTCTAACTTTCAGTAAACTGGCATCAAGAATAGGAAGCACGTAGTATGTTTGCAGTCAATACATGCATAGATTCCTACGTGTATATATAGCTCCTTCTTGTCGTTGCGTGATCTAAATATACCAGTTGATGTCGTATATCTATAAATCCAACAAGAGAACGATCGATGAAGTGAAAAATAGAACGAGAAAAATCACACCAGAAAAGAACACAGTGGAACACAGGTTTACGTGGTTCGCCAAATTGCCTACGTCCACGGAGTTGCAGAGGATTTTACTACTTGAGGAAATTTACACCAGTCGATCACCTCGACTTACAAGAGGAATCTCTCACTCTTCGTTGTTCTCTCACTTCTTCTCTCTCTGTTCTTCTCTCTCTACATCGAGATACACCGAAGAAACTCTACACCGAGATACACCGAAGAAGAAATACGTACAAGAGAAATAAACTCAATTTCTCTTCTGCCACAAGCCACAAAGAAGAAGACTGGGGAGAACAATCTTATTCTTCTTCCTTCTTCTTCCTTCTTCCTCTACCGCAAGGAACTACTCCTTGCACTTCTCTTTCACTGCCCCGTGGAAACCTTCCTCTATCCCGAGGAAATCGAAGAACACCAAAAAGGTCTGTTGTGACTTCTCTCAACCCAAGGAGAGCTATCAGAAGTTTTTATCACGAACAGGAAGCGGGAACGGGCGTAGGCGGGAACAGTTACGCGATCGAGCGGGAGTGAGAGGAGTTGCGACCTTCGCGACAAAGGAACGGGCCGAAGCGAAGCCTCACTTCGCGAAAGAGCGAATCGTTGGCGGAAGCGGGAGGAGGCGTGGATCAGGCTCCAACTTAACAATCTCCCACTTGGAGACCGATACATCTCCTTCCTCAAACTGATCTCCTCCACTGCGGCGTCGCTCATTTCTTCAAACATGTATCCTCCACTATGAATCCTCCAACTCGAATCCTCCACCTCTGCAACTCAAAGTTTTTGTCTTCACTCCAGAAAACCAACTGAAGCTATGCACAACTTCAGTTTCTCAAGAGTAGCACCCTCAGTCAACAAATCAGCAGACTCCACATAGCTTTGCACCTTCAAGTTATTTCATTGGTCACTATTGTCTCTTCTTACAACTCACACTGCATGGGCAACATTCTGTCTCTGCTGAAAATATTTTTCAACAAGTCTAGCTTTATACCTCTTACTGACATCCCACTCAATATTCACCTGGTACACCCACTTGTTGTGTAATGTCTTCTTCACTGGTGGAAGTTCTATCAGTTTTTACTTGCTCGAACTTTCATCTCGCAAGATTTCTTCATAGCTTTGTGGTTCTTCAAAATCTGTCTGTGGAATAATAAGAATGGGTGTCGCGGGCTCTTCCACCCCTGCCCTGCACTGTGGCCTCTGGTAGATTTCCTACCATATTCAAAGCCCATGAATCCAATATCAAGTTTTCAACAGAACTATGAACTGCCAACAACAGTGCGTCATTTACTTCTTCAGATACCACATTTGTGTTATCATTCTTCATCTTCTTGGGATTCCTGCAGTTCTTTTTTATGCGGTCAGTCTTGCCACAATTCCAACAGGTTGTCTGGTTACTAAACTTTGATTTTGATCTCCCTATCATTGAGTTTCTATCATCTTCGTCTGAAATCAACATTCAGTGCTGAACTCGAACCTGAGACCTCGCCAGAATCTTTTTTGCGAACTTCCTCAGCCAAAATCAAATCACGAATATCATCGAATTTCAGTTTAGATTTACCTGCAGAACTGCTAACTACTATCTTCATGGCTTCCCAACTATCTGACAATGAAGCCAACAAGATCAGTGCACATATATCATCATCAAAATCAATTTCCACATATGAAAATTGATTTGTGATATGATTGAAATCATTCAAGTGTTGAGCAACAAAAACACATTCCGTCATCTTCAAGTTGAATAACTTTTTCATCAAGTGCACCTTGTTATTCGCCGATGGCTTTTCATACATACCTGATAAGGCTTCCATAAGATCTACAGTCGTTCTCTCCTTGATGACGTTATGTGCAATGGACCTCGATAGGGTTAAACGAATAACCCTCAGAACCCGTCGATCCAACAAATTTCATTTATCTTTTCAGGTCTTTTCCCCAATAACAGAAGATGAAGTTTCTTCTCATAGAGATAATCCTCTATCTGCATCC